TACGATTGTCACTCTCTTGGGAACTGTTATTTCCGGGGTGCCTTGATAATCAAAGCAGACTTTGTGCTATTGAGGCTAGAGAGATGAGCAGAGTAAGCCTGATTCCCCGTTTGGACGTCTCTGTTGACATCCTCCCCTTGGTGCTCATATTACTTTATGCAGTTGCGAGCGCAGTAAAGCCTTACTAAAACAAACAGGAGACTGACCCCTGCCCTGCACTCTGTTACGCTGGTACCTGTAAAAGTTAGTACATCAGTGTCTTTCGATGACTAATACATTGGCAGAGGAGAGCATTATATCATTATGTGAGGCATCTTGGCGAAATCAGGCACTAGTCAAAGAAGTGAAATCGAAGAGAAGGGCATTTTTTCGGCAGGTTGAGCAATTTTTACGAAGTTTTCGGAAGAGGGGGGGGGGTGGAGGTAGCTCATCACCTTTTAAGTAAATATTTTGTAAGAATACGTTTTTGTGTGGATTTTACTTAGAAAAAAATGATTGAGGGCTCACAAAATACAAATTGTCAGTTTTCAAGGACTGTACAGCTTTTGGAGTCAGCAAACGTTGGCGGACATTTTCTCGTCAATTGTACATCTGACTCTAGGCAACCCCTACCTTCTCCAACGGTAAATACCTTAACTTCTATCCATGTATGATAGGTATTTTTCCATCGAAAGCAAGACAAATAAATAAAATCTAAATATACACATTTTAAAAGACGCTGCCAGTATCTCCACATGACCAAAAATTGACGAGAGCCTGATTTCACTTGGTCGCGACACACATCTGAAGTGAATATATACATTACAACAAAAAAAGGAAATGATTTAGCAACATTAGCAGAATGAAGGCCAAGGGAAAGACGGTACAAAAGATGTACAGAATGGAGACCAAGAACAAGAACAAGATCAAGAGGTAGACCAGAAAGACGATGGCAGGTCGACATCAAAGAGAGGGTTGATGCAATCTAGACACGGAAAACAGTTGACAAAACAAAGTGGAGATCGTTGTTTGAGGGCTACATCCTGGAGTGAACGAACAACGCCTAGAGGGAAAGAAAGAAAAGTGAAGTTGAAGAAACAAAAGGTTAAGATGACTTAAGGCTTCTGCTATGGCCAATGACACCACTTTTGCAAAAACAAGTTTGCCACATTTTGTACTCTGAAAAGAAAGCTTCGTTTACCCTTGTGGATGAGCGAGCGCAACAAAAACACACCTATCGTCCTTATCTCCCTTCTTTCTGTTTTGTGCTTGTTATTCTCTTGTAACACCTTTAACCTTCGGCACTTATAATATGACTTTATCGTTTTGCAAGTGCCATTAATCTCTTACTAAAACTTTTCTTCGACTGGCTCGCGAAAGACGTAAGTTCGATTTCTACGTGAGTAAAGTATTACCGTTTTTCACTGGAACTAAAATTTTAAAAAATTAGAATGAAAAATAAAGATATTCATTTAGAAAGCAGAAA